CATCTCTTCTTCCTGTGCTTGACTTCTCATGCTGGATGGGCCCAGGCTCGAGCTTTAGCACCTGTCCCTTCTGGGTCCGAGTTCTCTGTCCGGGTGATCCCCCCCACCCCTGCCCTGTGGCCCTAAGAGTTAGAGGGTCACTGCGGTGGTGGAAATGGAGAGAAAGGAACGGTGTCTGCAGGTGATGCCTGCATTTGTGACTCCAGCCTGAGTTCCTGCAACACCCCAGGCTCATCTCAAGCTTCACGTGTCCAAAATAATAACTCTGGCTGCCACCCATCCTGCTCTCTCCCCCAGCGCATCCCCATCTCAGGAAATGGCACCACCCAGTTATTCATGGCTAGAGACCCAGAATCATCCTCAACCACCCTCTCTCTCACCCACACTTCATCTACTTACAAGTCCTACAGACTCTTTTTCCTCCAAAATAGGGGTTGATGAACTTTTGCTAGCAAGAACCAGGGTCAGTGGGCTTTGCATGCTCTATGGTCTCTGTCACTATTCAACAAGGCCACCATAGCAGGGAATCAGGACTAGACAGGATGTAAATGAATGGACATGGCTGTGTTCCAATAACACTTTATTTACAAAAGTAGGCAGTGGGGCCATCTTTGGTCCATGGACCATAGCTTGCTGATCCCTGATCTACAATAGATCCCTGTCCTTCCTGTCCATCCACTGTCCATCCTAGTGCATCCCCTGCTTCAAACCTCCAATGGCTTTCTGCCCCTTGGGGGCAGAGGCAAATTCCCATCAAAGACCACCAAATCCCTGCATGGCCTCACCTGTCCCTAGCCCTCTACTCCTACCTCACCCACCTTCCTTCTTTTTCAGAAACAAGGCGTGGCTCACTTCTCCCTAAGGTCTTCACTCTGGCTGTTTCTTTTCTTTTTACTTTAACTTTTTTTAGAGAAAGAGTGTGGGCAAGGTGGGGGAGGGGCAGAGGGAGAGGGAGAGAGAGAATCTCAAGCAGGTTTCACACTGAGTGTGGAGCCGGACGTGGGGCTCCATCTCAGCACCCTGAGATCATGACCTGAGCTGAAATCAAGAGTTGGATGTTCAGCTGACTGAGCCCCCCCGGGTGCCTCCTCTGGCTGCTTCTTTTACCAGATCTCTACATGGGGGTCACCACCTCTGAGAAGCCGGCCTGGGCCACCCCCCTCTAAAGTAGGAAGAGCTAACTTTCACTGGGGCTCACTTTATGTCGGCCACTGTTACAGACTCTGAATATGAACAAACTACTTTATTTCATGCTCACAGTTTGCTGAATGCACAAATCCCTCCGAACTAGATCCTGTTCTTATTCTTACTTTATCAAGGAGGAAATTGGGGCCGAGGGAGATTATATAATTTTCCCCAAGTCACTTGGGAAGTAGCAGAGCTGAGATATAAACCAGACTGTCTGGCTCTGGGGCCATCGTGCTTAACCACCTGTCTACTGTCCATGTATTTTCAACAGAGCATCTGTCACTATATTGAGACTTCGTGTTCCCTTATTTGTTGTATTTGTTTGAGTGTCTCCCTTACAACAAGAAGGGAAGACTTGGTCTGTCTTTCATCTCCCTGAATTCCCGGCTTCCAGAACAGTGTCTGGCAACACAGTAGACACTCACTATGTTCTTACTGCACGGATAATAATTTACCTTCGTAATAGATTAATTTATTGGTATGCTAACAAATTAGTAAATATTCAAAGTACACCTTACCTTAGAATTCCTATGAAAGAAAGAAAATAATCAGCTTTACTCGGATTTCAGAAGTGTGGAGTGAATTCACCTTCTGATCAGTCCTCCCCTCTCCCCCAAATTAGGTGAACTCTTTGCATTTTTGAAGGTTGCTTGTGGAATTAGAAAAAAACGAAACAAAACCTCCTCTCCATCTTCACCATCTTGTTCCCTTATGTTGGTGCTTCGGGGCTGTGTGTGAGTGTGGTCACACAGGTCAATACCCTAGGACAGCGATACCGGGGGTCAGCAGAAGTTCAAGGGGAGGTTCAGCTTGAAGAAGCAGATCAGTAAGAGAAGCTGTTCTATTACACTCCTGCTGCCCTTGCCTCACCTAGAAAAGAGCAGTAGCCTCCCAGGCATGCACAGCCGCCACCTGAGAATATTCAGCTGGGAGGATACAGTTTGGTGGGATGTTTCCCTCTTGGATAGGGCGCATCTGAAGGAATAGCTTGGGAAGAAGCATTTTCTAGTCTGCCTTTCCTTGGGATGAGCCACTCGTAGGACCGTGCCCTGTCTTGGGATTCACTCGACCTAAAATTTTAAGTATCAGCAGACGTGGGCTTAGGACATGTCCATTTCAGAGACTCGGGCCCGCGGAAACAGAGATCTGGGGAAGCTGCAGAGCGGCAGAAGGAGTTGCTGTGTTTCCAGGAAGCTGTGCTGGGCTCTACCTCTCCTAGGTTGGGGATGCATGTTTGTGTGGTGTTTTGTTTACGTCCTACCAGGTAAAGAGACACATCAACCCTGCTTGGCCCAAGACTAGATGATAAAAAACTCTGGATCCTTAGACACAAGAAAATGTGAAGTTTGGGTATTTGCAAATATGGTTTGGGAGCACATGCAAACAACTGGTTAAAATCTATTGAATAGCCAGTTTCGTTTTTTCACTTGCTTTTGGTGTAGGTAGGGGTAGGGGAAGAGTATCCTACTTGACCTTGACATTTGAGAAGTTGTGTGCAGATGAATTGATACCTTCCAAAGGAAGACCATAAAATTGTATTCTGAAGTGTGAGTGTCCCAAGCAGAGTTAAATCTTTGGGAGCTGAGCACCCGGAATGCTCTGTGGGTGGAACTCAAACCCTGGACCCCTTTTGCATCATCTAAGCCATCCGATGGTTATTTTCTGAAAATCCAGTTTATCGTCTTAGGAATTTGAGAGTGCTGCTGACCCTGGAAGGCCCCCAGGGCCCCTCAGCTGCTCCCATACCTAAGGTGCCAGTGTTTCTGAGCTCCCTCCAGCTTTGCTAGTAGAGTGTGGGCAGCCTGGAGAGTGCTGGGGTCCCGACACGGGGGTTGGCCCATGCATGGGAGTGCTGGTGATTCTCCATGTGCCTCCTCCCTTGCCGCCCTGTCCCTGCTCTGTGCCCCGAGGCGGGCCTCTGTGGACTGCCTCCCTAGGCTTTCTTACCCTCTGGCTCGGGCTGAGCTCAGCCGTGGGAGGAGATCAGAGGGGTCCGCGGTGACTCTGGCCCTGGCTGAGTTACTTCACAGCTACATCTCCCGTAGAGTCCCACCTTCTCCATGGCTATGGCTCTCACTGGGCCCCAGTGACATCATCCCCTCCCTTGTCCCTTCAGCTTGAGGGCTGGTAGAGGTTTCTGCCTGTATGGAGTGCCCAGGAGCCTCATCCGTCTCTTGCTGATGCCCTTACGCCCACCCACACCTCTGTACACAGTTCCTTCGTTACATTCATTTTAGTTAACCCCCTTTGAGCGTGCCATCTGTTTCCAGTTGGACCCAAGAGCGATACAGATGGTTACAGACCCGGGATTAGCAGCATGATCCTCTCCTTCTGGCTAAGAAGGAGAGGCCCCGGGCCGACCACAGTCTCACACTGGAGGAAGAACAAAGAACGAACTCAGCAGTTTCTAACATGTCACCAGCTGCTAAGTTTCTAGAACGTTTTGGCAAGAGGAGGCTCGGTTTTGGGAGGTGGGACGTTATATCTCCGGTCCATTCTGGAGGAGACCAAAGTTTAGTTAGGCTTGGCAGGGGAGGAAAGCCCCTTCTCCAGAAAGGAACACCCCGTGTAGATAGAAAGTGTGTACACCTTATCGGCAGACGCATAATGCATTTACTTTTCTGCCCTAGACTGGCTTTCATCTTGCATCACGTGCTTGGTGTTGATGTTAGCACCAGCTAAGCTCTCCACTAATGGCAGGATTAGAAGCGATAGTTTAATATTAGCCAATTTGGAGAACGGTCAGTTGTTTAACAACCGAAAAGTTTCTGGTCTTTTTTTTTTTTTTTTTTTTTTGCTGTGATTGAAGGCGAGGGAAACCTAATATTTACTGGGTACCTCTGTGTGCCTGATAATGTGATACATTTTTAAAAATATTTTCTTTCATCCAGTCTCTTACACAACTCTGTGAGGCTCACGGTGTTATCCCTGAGCGTGGGCTCGGGAAGGTCAGGAACATCTTGTGGGTAGCAGGGCGATGTGGTAGAGCGGTTCAGAGCGCAGGTTTGGGCAAGGGATGCAAGTCCACCATGCCTCAGTTTCCTCGTCTGTTGAGCGGGTATTAGCTCCTGGGGGAACTGAATGAGATGACGCCTAAAAAGTGCCCAGCACAGAGATTGGTCCACTGTGAGCACTCCAGATATTACTCATTTCTTTTCTGGTGTCAGCAGATTTGTAGCTAAGACCCTGTTTTCAGCAGCTAGAAGTTTTCATTATGTTTTGATTTTGAGTGAATGAAAAGATGAGAAGGTGATAAAAAGCTCTTTTCTTTGACCTAATTTTAAAACACTTGGTATTTCCCTATCATCACTTTTGCCATTAGCAGGATCGGGCACGTCCTCATGGCACATTGAGAACACCCCCCACCCCCACTCCTTCACCATGCTTTACCGTCACCTAGCCATGCTCTTCCAACCGGGCTCCAGAATGTGGAAGCCATCACATGGGCTCATGAAGGATCAGTCTGTGGACCAAATGGGACTTAGCAGTGGTTGTCTGTTTCAAAGTGTTGTTTTTCTTTTGCTACCAAATGATTGCTAAGACATCTAGAAAATGTCTTGTGGGCTTTTCCTGGGGCTTAGAGTTTAAAAAAAAAAATCCTAAAGTTTCCAGGTTCAGTGTTTTGGGAAACCTGGAAAGTGTGGGTTATCTTGTGACCTAGGACCGTGGCCCATTTTCCTGTATGTGTAGAGTCTTTTTCAGAGGTAGATGGGAGCAGAGGTGAGCCCACACAGGTGGCCTAATGAACAAACTTCAGTCTGAGTCCCTTTGGTGGGGAGTATGATTTCATGGGAATAGTTTATAGAGCAGTTCACTTGCAAATAAAAAATAATAATAAAGTCACTAAAAAGCAATGTTTGCTTTTTGCTTTCTAGCATACACAGTCAATTATAACAGCAAAGATAGAGGCCAATTTATCTGACATACAGAGAAACAGACACATTCACAAAGATAGCTAGCGTTGAAGGCAAAGGCAGTTTTAGCAATTTCATCTCAATACTGGACATGCAGGAATGACATGTTAAGAAGAATAACCACATTCACAATACCACCGGAATAATAAAAATAGCTTGCGTGCATACCTAGTCTTGACATGTTAAAACCATCCATCACATCACAGCATCGACACTGGTTTTGGAGTCGGGGCTGCTGAAGGCTTTTTTTGGATGTTCCCTGGTTTCCTTGTGTCCACAGCATGGAAGGAGAAAGAGAACTCCGTGAAGCCTTCACAGACGTGGTAGGAGGGGGTCTGAAGGCTTGGATTTCATGACCTCCATCGCCCCTAGGAAGGGGGACGGCAACAATGTCTGCACCCAGCACTGCTCAGAAGAACAGAGAGGAGTGAAATGCAGTGTGAGTGCCCTCGTAGGACGAGTCTTCAGTCTCCTGTGAGAATGACTGATAGACTGTTTGTAAAAACCCATTGTCATTTCCTAGGGAGTGACGGACAGATTAGGGAACATGGAGTAAGTCTACTTTTGGAAAGATGCCATACACATTAAACTGTCGTTGAACACATTGTCAGAGTCAGCTCCATACTCTGTTCTTTATTATTGATGTGGTTTCTCAGGCTGTTGGAAAGTGGAATGGAGATTTTTTTTTTTTCCTGGAGAAAAGGCTTCTGAATCATTCTGGAGAGTCGAATCGTCTGCTTTTGCTTGCCATCGGATAGGGTGAGCTTGGAGGCTGCTCACGGCATTTGGTTGTGTGGCTGGGCTGGCTGATTTCCTCCTCCAAAGAGATGGAAAAGCAGCCTCCATGAGCTGGTTGTTCTAACCAGGGACTGTTTTCTCCTGTTCAGCTGCGTAGTGGATGGCTTCTCTCTGAGGCCAGGCCAGGACCAGAAGCCGGGATTGATGGGGACAGGAATGAGGCCTGGCTCTGCATCATCCACCCGTAGGATTAAATGCCTCTGCAGACTATTTCCTTCAAAATCGCTTCTCACTTTCTCATTTTGTAAAAACTAAAGCGTGCCTTTCTATTGTTTAAAGGGGGGCATTGTGGACTTGCCAAGAGAAGGCATTTTTAAAATTTCGATATATGTCTATCTTTCAATAAACATTAGAGAACACTCTTTTGAAAGACAGATGGAGGGAACGGCTAACGGATGTGAACTCTGATGAGCTAAATTTTTACAGCGTGAGACTCCCTGCTCAAAGGTGCCCATCTCCTATGTTGACACTACCCAAGGACCTCTGGACCTCAGCTGACCTGGCGTTCTGGATGGCGAAGCCCACCTCTGACGTTAGGCTTCACTGCTGATGCAGTCTATCACTTCAGTGTCTTGCTTTGGTGCTTCTCCAGCAATGAGGGTTGACTTCATTGATCCTGGAGGCAGTGAAGGAAGCCCGTGAAATCCCAAATCCTCTAAAAACCCATTTCCATGCTGACCCAACAGCCTAGAACCATGTTGCTGATGGCAAACCAGATTTTGCATCTGCTCCGTTGGACTAGAAATGTTCTGTTTAAGGTTGAGGAGGGATGGGTTTCCTCGGCTGCAAAGACTGCCCCCAGCAGAGGCCACATGCAGCAGGGCTGAGGATACGATGCCATCACCTTCTAGCCGGCAGGCCCTTTGGAACCAGGAGAATGCAAAAGGTGGTTGTGCGAAGGTACAGGGGAGAGGAAAAATGAACCATCTGTGGTCTGTTGCTTCCCCGAGCAAGCCTGATAAATACTACGGTGCCCATCCACCTGGGAGTTAGGAAGAGAGATTCAGGAGACTATTTTAATCTGCTAAAAAGCATTTAAGCTGAAGGCAAACAGAGTGAGTCTTTATCCAGCTGAGTCTTTGCTCCAGAAGTGTCTGGATTGCAGATGGTGGCACAGCTCTCTTCCCCATCACATACCGGCAGGTACTCAAAAAGCACACGGAAGGAGCTGACATAGATATCCCGAACCCCGGAACTGCCCTGTAGCGGGATGATGGACAAGGGGGAGACTTCTTTTATGTTGGAGAGCCTCTTTGTGGAGGTGCTTCATGCCTGGGGGAGAGAACTGCAGTTCATTTTCTTGGTGGCCAAGCATCTCCGCTTCCCCCAAAGTGTTCAACCTCAGATTTGTATTAAGCATGGGGGCACAGAGCTATCATAATCAAAACAATATGGTAATGGCATAAAAACAGACCCATAGATCAGCGGAACAGTATAGAGACCCCCCAGATAAACCCACGACTATATGGTCAACTAACCTATGCCCAAAGAGCCCAGAGCAGACAATGGGGAAAGGACAATCTCTTCAATACATGGTGTTTGGAAAACTGGACAGCCACATGCAAAAAAAATAAATAAATAAAATTGGACCTCTGTCTTACACCACACACAAAAATCAACTCAAAATGGATTGAAGACCTAAAAGTAAGACCCGAAAGCGTAAAACTCCTAGAAGAAAACATAGGCAGTAAGCTCCTTGACGTTGGTCTTGGCAATGATTTTTTTAAAAAGATTTTATTTATTTGAGAGGGAGGAAAAGAGAGAGAGAGAGCAAGAGCGGGGGGCGGGGGCGGGGTGGATAAGCAGACTCCCCGCTGAGCAGGGAGCCCAATGTGGGGCTCGATCCCAGGACCCTGGGATCATGACCTGAGCTGAAGGCAGACGCCCAACAACTGAGCCACTCAGGCGCCCCTTGGCAATGATTTTTTGGATTTGACACCCAAAGCAAAGGCAACAAAAGCAAAAACAAACAAGTGGGATTACATGAAGGTAAAAAGCTGCTGCAGAGCAAAGAACAAAATGAAACAGCAGCTCACTGACTGGGAGAAAACATTTGCAAATCATCTATTTGATAAGGGATTACCATCCAAAATATATAAAGAACTCATACAACTTAATAACAACAAAAATTTGGTTAAAAAATGGGCAGAGGATCTGAAGAGATATTTCTCCAAAGAAGACATACAGAGAGCCAGCAGATACATGAGAAGATGCTCAACATCCCTCATCATCAGGGAAATGCAATCAAAACCACAATGAGAATATCACCTCACACCTGTCAGAATAGCTATTATCCAAAAGACAAGGAAGAAATGTTGGCGAGAATGTGGAGAAAAGAGAACCCTTTTGCACTGTTGGTAGGAATGTCAATCGGGGCAGTCCCTTGGAAAACAGTATGGTGGTTCCTCAAAAAATTAAAAATAGAACTACCCTATGATCCAGCCGTCTCACTTCTGGGCATTTATCCATCCAAAGGAAATGAAAACAGGATCTCAAAGAGGTATCTGCACCCCCATGTTCATGGCAGCATTATTTATGAGAGCCAGGACATGGAAACAACCTCAGTGACCATCAATGGATGAATGGATAAAGAAAATGTGATATAAATATATATATATCATACACACACACACACACACACAATAGAATATTATTCAGCTATATAAAAAAGAATGAAATCTTGCCATTTGTGACAACGTGGTTGGATCTTGAGGGCATTATGTTAGGTGAAATAAATCAGAGAATGATAAATATGATATGATTTCACTTATATGTGGAATCCAAAACAAAAAACCTACAAAACCAAGCTCATAGATACAGATGACAGATTGGTGGTTACTAGAGGTGGGAAATGGTGGGGCTGGGGGGGATGGTGGTAGACGAAATGGATGAAGGGGCTCAAAAAATACAGATTCCCAATTATAATGTCAGTCAAGGTGATGTGTAAGGTACAGCACGGCCACTATAGTTAATAATGCTGTATTGCCTATTTGAAAGTTGCTGAGAGTAAATCTTAAAAGTTCTCATGACAAGAAAAAGAAAATTCTAGAACTACCTATGGTGATGGATGTTCAATGGACTTGCTGTGGTGATCATCTCATAGTGTGTGCAAATATCAAACCGTTATGTGGTACACCTGAAACGAATATAATGTTGTCTCTCAGACCTCAATGGAAAAAAAGCCAGCAGCACAGGGAGGTGGGGGGTGGGAGGGGAGAAATGACTGTTAGAATCTGTCCTCAGTGAGCATCCATTTGAAAATAATTTTGAGTGATTTTTCTCCAAAGAAATTGTGTGTTTTTCCTTATGCAAAACTATTGCTGTTAGCAGAACACGTGCTTCCAGGAGGTTGACTAGTGGGGATGATTTGTAGTTTTGCCAACTCTACCTTTTTTTTTTTTTTTTCTTTAATTGAGGTGGACTGTTATTTGCAGGGACAGACAGCAGGGTGGGGCCAGGAATGCAGTCAGTGGTCAGGCATGGAGTCTTCTCCGTGAAAAATTGGCTTATACACAACGTCCCCCTCCCCATAAAAAAAAAGAAGAAGAAAAAGAAAAAGACAGTGTATCTCCCTAGACTTCAAATGCATTAGTCAAATTATAGTTCTGTCCCTCCACTGAAAGCCCTGGAGAATCTCTGCATCGGAAGTCTTGCCTACAAGATATAGAAGGTGTTTCGCGTGTGAGCACGTGTGGGTCACAGCGTGTACCACGCACACCAGTGAATGTGCCCCTCACGTGTGAGTGCCACGCATGTACTCCATGGTTCTGCCTGTGTGCACTGCATCGCGGGGGCGCGTGTGCTTGGGAGCACAAAGCGTAGCGAGCCTTAGGGGAACGTCCCTTTGTCCTGAGAAGTAAGATGCTGGTGAACGTTGAGAAAACAACCAAGCCTTGGTTATGTTATGAGAGAACCACTCAGGTTTCTTGTTAAAAATAATACCCATGAGGAAAAATATCCGCCCTCTCAGTAATGGCCACTCTCCCTCGCCTGGGGGCAGGAACCTCCACAGGGACTGGTACCCCAGCCATCGGCGAGGAAGTGGGGGGAGCACGGCCCAGGAGTGGGATTGCAGCTCCTCCGAGGTGCCTGGTGAATCGACAGGTGGTCCGGTAGAGCTGGCCTGGTGAGTTTACAGGTAGTCGGGTAGAGCTGACCATGGGGCTTCCTCTTGTGAGCCTGGCAGTTTCCCTGTGGGGCCCTGTTCTGGCCACTTTGCAATCTGATCTTTGTAAGGACCTGGGACAACTGTGTCTCCCCCTGAGCCCAGGGTTAAAGCTGTCTGATTGGGTAGGACCAGTGACTGCCCTGCAAGGGACCTACTCTGTGGCTTAAGTGATCGGAGGCTCCAGTCACTGAATAATGGGAGTGGGCGAGGCTGTGGGATGCCATTTCAGATTTCTTTTGGAGTCACGCTCCTCCACAGGCTTTTCTACAAGGACAGGGCAGCACCATTGTATGTGTGACCAGCCCTTGCAGGCCCAGGGGCAGAAGGGAGTCACCTTCCCTCACCAGACACCAGTATCCTGGCAAAGAGGTCTTCTTCTCTCCCTCGTCTGTCCCCTCAATAATGCCAGGGAAGAAGAGGGGTGAAAACCGAAAACATCTCCCCTTCCCCTCCACCCACTTGAGGTTGGGTCTGTGTGATCCATCTCCTGCTGAAAATCTCTGTCCACTGGGAGGCAGACATCCATGGAACCCAGTGAGCAAGCCACAGCATTTCATTTACTGTGATACTCACTTTTAATCTCAGGGGAATCAATAGTTTTATATTCAGCTTGGTTAGGTCTTGGCTAATATTTAACTCTGTTTTGAAGCCCAGCCCAGATACATACAACCTGACACATCTAAGGGGGAAAACTAGGTGATCGGCCCACAGGCTGACACATCTGGTCACTGCGGAGTTAAAGGAAGTGTGGTGGCCAGTGGGGGTGGGAGGCATGGACACTTGCCCCGGAATTGCAATTCCCAACCCTAATGGTCTGCTGACTTGGGTCATGGACCCACGAAAGCTTTTCAGCTGGTAAGTGGAAAATAATCCCTGGTGCCGACTTTCCAGATGAGCTGCTAGAAAAAAAATGTGAGACTCTGCCTATGGGAATGTTCTAAGAAATCCACTGTTAGAAAGGGAACAACCCATTTAGGTGAAGGTTCACTCTGCTAGAACATTTGATAGGAAATTTGCTGGCTTTGAATCTGGCAAAAGTGGGGATCAGATAAGTGACCAAATATAAATTATGACTTATAAAGCTCAAATGCTTGGCTTGCCACCTATCGTGATTTTTTATGATGCCACATGGTCCAGAAACACTAATGGGACCTTCCCAACCATATATGGAGCCTTTTGGGGATTCTCTTGCCATCTTCCTTCAACTAGGCCAAAGTTCACTTCTGCCTTCCCTCCTAACTTAGCTGTCTTGATTGGACAGTCACTCTTGAAGCTGATTAGGAACACGTATCCCGACAGACATTCCTTCTGACTGCTCTCAATGACCAGACTGTACACTCTTCTGGCACGGGGCTCCTCACTAGCCATCAACACTTGTATTTGGCCACAGAGAGGAGGTTAAATCAGTGCAAGCAAACAGACTCTGGTTCCTGGGCAGCTCTGGAAGTCCTGCACCACCAGCCAGCATTTTCTTCTCTGCCTACCATTTGTAATAGATAAATAAATCCATGCAGAAATAAAAAGAGGTATAGTTTTAAAATGAGACTATAGGAAAAGCTGTGAGCCCACAGTGCATGCAGTAAAATCCCACACTCTTACTTCATGAGAGGTTGGCTGCAAGTTCCCCTAGGACTTCCTAGCAGCCACACTAATGAAGAATAATGTTTCCTCCTCCTCTTCCTCCTCTTCTTTCTTCTTCCAGAAACAGAAGAAGGAGATGCAGTGTCCCTCTCCTTGTCTGCCTAGACTGTCCCAAGCTATGGCATAAACTCCACCAAAGATCCAACTCCACGTTCCATATTCAGCTCTCTGTGTTACTGAAACACAAACTAACACCATTCAACACAGGCCACAGTGTCACATTCTCTCTCCTGATACCTCTCTCGCCAGACCCACTTAGGTGCAACCAGTTCTTAACCACCCATGCTAATGGGTGGGTTAAAGAGTAGCTTGCATAATCCAAATGACCAGCTGCCCTCAAATCAATGGAGTGGCCTTACTTTTTGTTCTCACCCAGCATCCAGCAGATTTATGTTCATAATTAAATGTTGAGTGCAGGTTCAGCTTACATTTCGGAATTAAAATTGTGTTACCATTGGAATCAAAACGTTTATTCCCTCTTTTGGAAGAACGAAAACCACCAGAGAGCCAGTTATCCTTGAACGAGATATTTCAAAAAAGTGGAGAACTCCTTTTCAGAGAGTAGCAACCTGCCGGCTGATTTGGACAGAATTATAGCTTCGGTCTTCAAGGCCCCTTAGAACAATCATCGTACTGATGAGCACCGACCGCCCACCTGGATAGGCATGTTGCATGAAGACTAGATGGCTGCTGTGGGCCGTGGCCTCCTTGGAGGAGGCAGCATCTGATGGCAGGGGCCTGAGTGCTACACAGTCAGTCTGTCTTCCCTGAAATTATTTCCATCCGTTCTTGGTCCCTTGGAATCACTTTCCTAAGTAAAAAAATCAGCCTTTATTCAAAGACCCGGGAACATTTCATATTATTAGTAATGGTAACGTTGGGTTTAAAGCATTTCCTTCCAAATCTTTGCTTGGGCTTTTTAATGGGCGGGGGAGGAGGAGGGGGCGTGGTCACCTTCTATCAGTTGTGGCTGCTAGGAAGTCCTGAGCGAACTTGTAGCTGACTTTTCCTTTTAGTAACAGTGGGAGATTTTACTGTGGGCACTTTTGGGTCACAGCTTTCCTTAGAGTCTCACTTCGTAATTGTACCTCTTTTAATTTTTGCATGGATTTACTTATCTATCATAATATTACCGAACACATTTTTCTAGGCCACAGTAAGTACTTTTGGGAACGAGGTGGTGTGAATAATATAGACAGAATGAAGGCAGCCCATTAACAGCGGGCGCCACAGGTGGAGTTCTTAGTCATTCTGTCAAACAGCCCTTCCTCGGGGAGCCGGAAGAGGAAAACTCATTTTTACAGTCAAATCTATACGTGAGACACTAAGAGTGAGGCTTCCATAGGAACCCAGAGATGATGGCATCCTCACAAACACCCAAGTGTATATTTCTTCAGACCCTGGTGATCGGTGAAATGGGCATCATCTCTTATTTTATTGTGTGTAGGTGAGCTCATCTACCATTTCAGGAACAGAAAAGTGTCACTGACAGTGTGAAGTGCCTGTCTATTATAACCGTGCTTGAGGAATAGCTCAGAGAGTCAGTGGCATTAAAGGTGGATGTTTAATGTGTCTACTGGGCAAGGAAGGTGGTACAGGCATACCTGTGAGGGACGGGACTCCCTCCAACACTCCTCCTCGTGCACCTGCTACGTGCTACTTATTGCCGGGCCGGTGCATGTGCTCACGTGTTAGGAACAGGGTCCTCAGGTCTTTAGTACACTGTGATTTTTTTAGTGCCTAGCTTTGTATCAACTCCTTAAAAAAAAAAAAACAAAAACCATGGAGGAGTCATTGAACTATATTTCCAGTTTCTTTCATTAGGAAGCCATGTCCGGCATTTTTTTTAAAAAAGAATCTCATGGTTTCTCATAAAGGCATATTTTTGCTTTATTCTTACTCATTTATTTTCACAGTGGGGAAAAAAATAAAATGCTTTCCCCATGACAATTGCGGTCCTTTTTTTTTTTTTTTCTTTTGCCTTTTGTGTTGGTGATTTTGTCCACTCTCCCCTTCCATGGCTCCCTAAGAAAGACTAAAGCAAATTAAGGAGGAAAAAAATGCGATCTTATAACAAAGCAGGCTTTGTTTTGATAAATACAGTAATCAATGGCCCAACCATTTATGTCGTTTTGAGGAAATGAATAATTCTTTGATTATATCCAAGAAAAGAAAACATACGAATTTATGTTCTGGGTCCTCAACTATCTTCTCCCTCTCCCTTCTTCCTTTGATCTACCTTGCCTGAAATTAGTAAGGCCAATACCCAGGGACAGAGGTGGGTTTGAGAGACTGGAAGCTTTAAGGAGACCTCTTTAAGAAAAAGAATACAAAAATATCTTACTTTTATAATTTTTTTTCAAAAGCATGTGATCATGTGAAAATACTGCCCAAGCATGAGAGATCCCTGAAGCTTAAACTTTATTGGCTTTTTGGCAAGTCCATTTCTGCAGGTACCATACCGTAAAAAACGTCCACCTGTACTAGGCACACTTCAATTTGCTACTCGGGTACTTTTGAACACCGGAAACATAGGTAATGACTATACAGGGGCTAGAGAGGAGTAGAATAAATATAAATGTAAGACCACAAGGTTACATATTAGGTTTTAAACACACAGATATACTTTTTCTATTTTTGTTGAGCTTCACCATTTCTACAGATCATACCCAAGCATGATCTCTTTTTCTCCTGACTTGGAATTGTCTGCCTGCATTTAAATGTTCACTTTAAGGGGAGGGGGGATGGTGTAATCAATTTAATACGTTATCATTCACTCAGACAAGCCGACTCAAGCTCTGTTCTCTGATTGGACTCATGCTGAGCAATTCCCTATTCTAGAAGGCAGGTGTGATGGGTGGGAGGAAGGAAGGGGGTAGGGGCAGGGAGCACATGCTGCTTGGCAGAGCTTGGTGTGTTATTTATTTATTTGTCAGGCAGTTCAGATACTGGTCTGGAGGTCTCCATTGAGGAGGGTCCTCTGGGTCTCCGTGGTCTCATTCAGCCGGGATTTGTCCTGCTTACTGTCACTCCGTTCCCCGTCATCTGTGCCGCTCACCTTGACCAAGCAGAGGACATTCTGGAAGCTCTTCTTGAAGTTGTCAGACAAGAAGGCATACAGGATAGGGTTGGCGCAGCTGTTAGCGTAGGTGAGGACCACCACAAAGTCAAACATGCCTTTAAGGGCTGGGGTGGGACTGATGGCCACAGAGACGGAGGAGACATTGAAGATGTAGAAGGGAAGCCAGCAGAAAATGAACACAGCAACCACTATGGACACCATCCGTGTGACTTTCTTCTCAGACTTTTTCCTCTTGGAGGAACCCACACGGATTCCAGAGGACTTCACCTTGATGATAATGAACAGGTAGCAAAGACAAATGATGGTGAGGGGCACCAGGAACCCCAAGATGAAGGTGTAGATAATGAACCCTGTGTACCATGCCCCAGATTCACCTGGCCAGTTGATGGTACAGCTGCTTCTCCCCCACTGGTTGCTCCGAAGCCCAGCATATATCATGATAGGCAAGATGACCAGCAGGGAGACTCCCCATACGGCCACATTGACCATCTTGGCCGTTCGGGGTCTCCTCCACTTGGCAGACTTTATGGGGTGGACCACAGCCAGGTATCGATCGATGCTCATGACCGTCAAGCAGAAAATGCTGGTGAACTGATTGATGCCATCCACAGTCATGACCACCCGGCAAATGGCCTTGCCAAAGGGCCAGTGGACCAGAGCCACCTGCATGGCCAGGAAGGGCAGACCCAGCATGAAGAGCTCATCTGCAATGGCCAGGTTGAGGATGTAAATGTTGGTGATGGTCTTCATCTTGGCATAGCGGAGGATGACATAAATGACAAGTGTGTTGCCACACAATCCAATGATGCAGACCACAAAATAGATGAACGTGAGGACTGCATTGCTGGTCAGATCATAGTATGGCTCTGTCTGGTTTGAGCTGTTGGCCGCCACCACAGAGCCATCAAGGTCAAAGGGAGGGGAAAGCCAAGTGCGGCTCTCATTGAGTAGCTCATACTCCATATCCATGGCTGCCTTACCCTCTTAGGTTAGTTCCAGCCAGCCAGAGATCTTATTCTCACCTTGATGTGTCCTGGAGGCCAAGGATCCACTGTAACATCTGCAAGGAGAAAAGGAAGATGGGCCTATCAGTCAGAGGCTACTTAAGCGCTCACCAGCCTTCCGTGTTTCTGGTTTACCCTCTCAGACAGACTCTTCAGTTGAAAAGTGTGTTATCTTGCAACCTCAGTGTTAGAGCCTCCAGCTCATTCTCATCAGTGTGCAGACTGTTTGAGTTGTTTTTCCAATGGGGGGAAAGGTTTGGGTTAAGTCATCATAGTTTATCTTGTCATCTTTGGTGACGCACATGTGGGAGATGGCTGTGGCTGGAAAAAAAGAAAAAAAAAAAAAAAAACCCATACTTTGATCCCTAAGAAGTTGATTGGTCCAGCCCCTGACTCAGAGGGATCTGACACCAGCATTCCTGGCCTGCTCCCCGTGAGGACATCTCCGCTGACCTGCTGACTGCTTCCGAGTCTTTCCATTCTGAAAGCCCCAGAGTGGAAAAATCCCAGACTTTAGAGGTAAAACAAGCCAGGGTTCCACCAGGAAGCCCATGTGACCTCGTGCCAGGCACTTAACCACTCTGACTCTCATTGGTTAAAATGGCAGCATCCGGAAGGTTAAGGGATGAAATATATATGTGGAAGCGCCTAGCATTGTGCAGGGCTCATGATCAGGACTAAGCAAATCTCATATTTCCCCCTTTTCTCCTCTACCATCTCATTTATCTGTAATCTACTGAAAGCTGCCCACAGAATGAACAAATTTATGGTCTTAAATATTAAAAATAAAAATCTAGCTTGCTTTTATATTTAAAATGCATGATTTAGTTTATTTTGTTTCTTCTGTTTTTGTTTCTCCAATACCCAGTGCTTGACCTCCACATGCCTCAGAGAGTCTCTCAGGGGGATGCTGCTCCAGGATGCTCATCTTCTAACACTCCAGAGGATTTGCCTGGGATCCCCCTGATGAAGGAGGAAAACAGGAACCAGGCGTGAGGGAGGCAGGCTCATGCACAGAAGTGAATTCCAAACACGACCGTAGCTCATTCACGCTCATTATCCCCTTGATCTTCCCAACCGTCCTATGATGTGGGATAACCATCTCCATTTTACAGATGAGAAACCGAGGCTTAGGGAGTTTAAGTAATTTGCTTCCATCCCCTGTATATAACTGGTGGAGCTGAGATTTAAACACAGGACACCCGACCCTTCTGCATTTTTCACAGCATCCTATCTGCTGCTCAGTGGGCTGGAAAAACGAGTGACTGAGAATTGGGCTTTGGTTTAAAACAGCTGACTCCTGTTTTACCATCATGCTGGGAAAGTAATTGTAACACTACTGGCTTGGCTTAAGATCTAAAACAATAGCTCATCACATAAGTAAATGATTTATCTACGGTCATGCAAAAACCAGTGCTGGGGGGCTTCTTTGTTCTGCACACCAGGGATACAGGCATGAAGGAGACGTGGCTGGTGCCCTCTAGGAGGTGACAATTTAGGAGGGGAGACAGGCAGAGGAAGCCAGCTCATCTAGGGTGTGAATTGCGTGGAGAAATGAACACAGGGCTTAAGGATGCCCTCCTTTCCTGGAGGATTCCAAGGAGGCTTCATAAGAGGAGTGTTTGGTCTGGGTCTTGAATATATGAAGAGTGAAGCAGGGAGGGCAGGAAAGAGGTTGTTCCAGAAAGAGAGAAGATGGTAAAGAGGTAGTGTACTCAGCACACGGTGGGAATAATTCACTTGGCGGACACATTTCTCCTGAGCAGGGCACTTTCCCCGGTGCCCGAGTGAAGGTTAGAGATTGCTCCTCTATGCTTGGAGAGACTGCTAATTAGCTAGGGGGGACTTCGCCAGCAACAAGTACTCGAGGACCCTTGCCCACCTTTGCCTCTGATTCATTCTGCACTGCCAGGTGCACTGTTTACCCTCTCTGTGCTAATTTCCCTACCAGACAACCATCTGTAAAGTGGGGTCTGGGCTTTGTGGCTGACCTTTCTGCTAAGTACTTTGGGGACCCAGGATTTAATGTCTGCATTGGGTAAAAAGCATAAACTGGCAGCTATCAAAAAGAAAAAGTGCGAAGAAACCATTTTTGGTATCCCTGAATTAATTTGGGTTGTTCCTACTATTTTTCTAGCTGTCTTATCAGTACTTTAATTCTACAGACCCAGAATCCCATTGAGGCCGCCTGCACTGGAGTGCACATTAATCACTAGCATTTCCAGGGTCCCGTCTATGTAACATGCAAGGTCACACTCCAATATCTGCGTGAGTCTGAAGTACCCTGGGTGGCAGAAGCTCTAGAGCTTTGGGATAGGGATGATGATGGTGCAGGTGGGTGAGGGAAAGTCAAATGCTGACCTCCAGCCCTAACTCTGCCTTTTTGGCTGGAGTCTCAGTCGGTGGCATGGAATTGCATGGGGTCAATGTTTTTCTAAACAGGCTGAGAAGCAGCAATAGACAGCGTGCAGAGCTCAGTGAAGGTGGCGGAGGAGGTAAGCTGGAAAGCCAGTCCAGAGTGGGGAGGCTCCTCCAAGGAAGAAATAAGTTTAAATCACAGTGACTCTGATTTCATTAACAATGAAGCCTGCTGCCTGAGGTCTCCGGGTGACTTCTGCTTCATTTGGGTCCCAGTGAAAGTGGAGCCCAATGCCAGGCTATCAATACTTCTTGGATTGTGGTTCGGTTAAACGCACAAGGAAGTTTGGTTTTCTGCTTGCTGTATTTTTCAAGCCTAAGAGTTACAGACCCTGGAAATGGCTGGTTGTTGGTTTTCTCTGAGACTGAGTCTGGGCTGTGTTGGAGAGGAGGGTGAGAATGGTCTGGAGCATCCCTTCCTTTTCCCAGAGCTGAAGAATTGAGCGTGGGGATGGGGACTGGGCATCAGGAACCCTGCTAAATCCTGTTCGACTTTAGCTTTTCCTTTCTCCCCAGCATTCCACCCCCGCATCCCTCCGCCACCCCCATTCCTTCCCCGCCGCCACTTTTCCAGTGGCCTGCTAAACCGAGTAGGTCTCAGGCTGCCAGAACTGAGCCCCACCTGCCAGAGAGACAATAGCCAGGTGCGAGCCACCGCGGCGCTAGAGCACCTAAGGAAAGCCCAAGCAGCGCTGGCAAAGGGCATGGGGGAGAGGTGAGACTCATTCAGTTCCCCAGACTGGCACAGAAAATCCTCATCACTTAGCTCTCAGATCCAACGGTTTCCTAAAGAATTCCCTATTCCCAGGAGGACAATGGGGGAGGTTAAAGACGGTCAGCGCCCCAGTTTCTAAACGCGGGGGGGGGTGTCGAGACATCAGGGACGGTTGGGAGCAGGGGACAGCTACCTGGGGACTTGGCCAGCGCCTCGGGGGCACGGGCCACTCAGGGATTCGGTCTTTCCTAAGATAGGCAAACTGTCCTCTCCTTCTGGGCGCTGGGGGAGCGGACTCTAGACCTTGGGGCATCCGTCTCCCAGGCGGGGAGAGGAGGAACAGAGAAGCGCTCCCTTTTCTCTGCTCCGCTGCCTGCCCCTCACAGCCTCGGCTCTCCGGATGCATGCCCGCCCGCAGAAGGCCCCAGCAGGGACACCCCCCCTCCCCGCCCCAGCTGTCTCGCTCTCCTCGGTGGAGGCTCTTTTGCAGGTGGCTGGGAGAGAAGTTGTCCCTGTCGCAGCTACCACCTGGACGAGTCGGCTGGGGGACGAGGACTGGACAAGGGCGCATACCACGCACACCAGCCTGCGGTGGTGCGGGCACGTCCGTTCCTGCACACGCCACCCACAGCCCCCACTCACGCCGGGACAGCCGCTGTCGTTCATTGCCACGAAAATCACCCCGCAAAAGGCACAGGGCCGAGAACCACACACCGTGCCTCCTCTCGGGCACACCGAGGCGCGCACCACCATGCAGCGCAGATGCGGTCGGGTGGGTGCTCAAGTGCGTCTCTCTTTCTCTCTCTCACACACACACACACACACACACAACACGCGCACACACGCACACACACACATACACACTCCCACACGCCTCACCTTTGCTTTTCCGCTGCAATCCGCTAGCTCCGCTCGCTGGCACCCAGCGACTGTCCCCAACCCAGCCGGGCGCCCAGGCGCGCCGCAGCTTGACCGGCACCTGGCGCTCGGCGTCCTGC